CGGGCCTCCGGGTGTCTCTGCCGGCGCCCCAGAGAGGTGCCCCAGCCCGTGTGTAGAGACCCCTCGGCCGTGTCTCGCCGGGCGGCTACCCAGTCTGTGACCGGGCTCTGTTGTCCTCCTGGTTATTGGCGTTTTAAGCAAAATCGGTTGTTTTCGTACAGTTTCTTTCCCTGTGAGATTACTGCTGGGTTCCCGGGGCGTGCGTACATCTGTGTGTCTGTGTATGTCTGCCTGTGCCCAACCCAGAGAAACAAAAGCACTTTGAAGCCGAAATACTCTAATATTTGGGAACGGGTTGTACAGGAGAAAGCTGTTCTTCAAGACCCACATTATTAAAAGGTGTTTTATGACAAGGATAACAGACCATCTAGTGTTGGCTGATTTTAGCCAAATTGAAAGCAGTCTAAATTGTGCTTGCCTTTTGTCTGTAATTCCTCTTTGTGACTTGTCATGTAGTATCTATTTGCTGTATGACAGCTCTTCTTCCAGAAGTTTTGCTGTAAGCTTTGTTATACAGAGAAGCCTTAAAAATCATTCACAAATCACAGTGAAGGTATTAATCTTTCTGTTTGGTGGAGGTTTCTCTTTTAGAAATGTGCTCCAGGTTCCTCGCTGCTTCACAGCTCACCTACATAATCGTCTAGTCCTGTGTCTCCTGAGCTGTTTGCAGCTTCGGTAACATTTTGGAGATTACTGGCGGTGTTACTGGGTGACAGGGCAGTTTGGTACAGTGGCAGTTACACAAGTACTCTCTGGAGATATGAAAGGAATGTTGCTCAAAATGTTTGTGTTTATGTAAAAATGCAAAATATTGACATTGACAATATTGACAAAACTTGACATTCTCCACAGGACCCTCCTTTTTTTTTTTTAACTGGGAGTTTCTTGTGTTTCTTTAGTAAATAGGAACCATAACACTTTGTAATCTGACTTCAGCTGTCAGTTACTATTGGAACAAAATTTAAATACTTGAAGTGACTGTGTACAATAGCTTCTGTCAGGTTGTATTAGTTGGCTGGGCCTTTACCCAAAGGTAAGACCTGTGTGCCTGGAGAATCACTTGCAAATTCTGTAAGCTGTGTTTGGAAATCTTCCTCTTGACTCACTATAGGAGAAGGCAGCATTGAACTGCAGCCCAGGCCACGTTCTGACTGCCAGCGCATGCTGTAATTAGTAGTTCAGGCTCTGTACAGTGGTACATACTTGTTGCTCTGCAGACAAATGAATAGTAATGATGTAATTTAATTAAAAAAATTAAATCTGAATTCTATACTGCATTCTAACTAAAGTTATTGAAACTTAAATGGGAGTAGGTCCTTGAAATATATGGTATGAATGTCCAGACAGTAATTTACAGAGCAAAATGCTACTCTGAATACTGTCTGGCTTATTAAAGCAGAGGCCAAAGAGGCATTTCCATTAAAAGGGACAGTGATCTTAAGTCAGTTGTCTCACTGAATATTATCTTGTTGCATCATTACACTGGTGTATCAGTGCTACTAAAAAAAAAAAAAGTGATAATAAAAAAGCTGTTAAACAGATCACTTATTCAGAAAAGCTGGATAATTGATTGTACTTCATTGTCTCTGTTATTACCCCATGTCCTGGTTCCGTGTGTTGAGTTGGGCTGGTGGGTAATCTGTGAGCACTACTTTCTTTTTAACTCATATTTTCAGAGCTCTAAGAAATATTTGTAAATTTACAACATTTTGTTTCTAGAGGATGCAGCTCCTTGGTGATTACAACTTTGACTGAGAGCTATTTTCATGATCTCCTGGAATTGTCGGCTGCCTGCTGCATACCAACAGCTGTAAAGCTCAGAACTGTGCTCCTGCATAACATCTTGATGCTGTTGTTGCTGATGGAGAGAAACAGGACTTGGTAGTTCACTTGGCGGCAAATTATTCAGAAGAAAAACTTTCCAGGGGTCTGGATCTTTTTTACCATGGACTCCTCATCTGTCCAGCAGGACATTGACTTGGAGAACAGAAGCAGTAATGGAGCCCCTAGCAGCTCTGAAAAACTTTTGGATTGTAAAACCAAGTCAGATTTACCAGTTACAACAGATGAAATTAACAGTAAGTTACTTCATATGCACCAAATAATTTCCTAGTCTTACCCAGGCTTCTCTACAACTATCTCTTTTGTTGTTCCAGTGATGCTGAAGGACCTTTTTCCTTGAGGTTGGGAATTTCTTGTATAGCAGTTTTAAGCAAGTTTGGTGAAGGCTATAGCTCTGTGTATGGGAAAACCGTCTTTTGTTTTAAAACTTACTCTTGCAAAACAAAACCAACTATTAAGTACTATTGGCTGTCAGTTGAATGTGTGTTGTTCAGGGTGTTACTCTATCTTCTGATAGTGTTTCCAAGAGTGTATGCCTGAAATTCTCTAGAACTAACAGTTCTGAAATGATATGGAGTAAGCTCATGACTGGAGCACTTTATTCTGGCCAAAGAAGTTTTCCTAATAAATTAAATGTCATTAGGCCAAAACCAAAATGTACTTTAAAAGTCTCTCTAAACTTCCATTTATGGAAGAGAGATGCTGGCATGTACCCCCCAAAGTATCTCAAATTAACTTTTATATGTAGACAAGCTGTATAATAAAATAATCATGCAGCTGTTCACAACAAACAAGACCACTCATCTGAGTAGATTATGGAATCAAACTTAGGTTGGAAGGGACCTCCATGGGTCATCTAGTCCAACCTCATGCACAGAGCAGACCTAATTTTGAAGCTAGATCAGGTTGCTCAGGGCCTTGTCCTGTTGAATTCTGAAAATCTTCAGAGGAGGAGGTTCAACAGCCTCTCTACCCATTCCAGTATTTAACTGCTTTCGTTGTGAAAGTCTTTTCCTTGTATTGAATTGAAATCTCTGTGATTCCATTAAAGGTATCTGGGGATATGTTGGTGTATAAGGATATGGTGGTAGATAGGTGGAGAGGGTGTGTATGTTGCGGCTGCATAGATATACAAAAGTACAGAGGTTCCTTTATGTAAAAGCATGTGATCATGTGATGAAGTTGTTAGCCTTCCACCCGCCTCTTGTACCGCAGATTTGTCATCTTGTCACAGGCAAGAAAGTGGAGGCCTGAGACTTTATCTGCATTTCTTACGCTGCCCATTATCAGACTGGCAGAGTGTAGTTATATGATGATTCATTCATCTTTTAGGAAGTTGGAGGTCACACGTTCCTGTCTTCTCCTGTGTTGGACGTCATCCAAACAATTGAATTGTGGCTTACAAATAGCAGTGTGTCTTTCTACTGTTTTCAATCTGATTGCATCTCATCCCACACTGTTCTAAAGAGACCGCAGTTGTATTGACACTACTGGAATTAAATTACTTTAGTTCAAGTCGGCGTTTGGATTCTGAGGGTCTCATGGCCTCAGGAAGTTGCCAGGATACCATTCCTTCAGAATTTTGCTCCAGCATCTCTTTTGTATATGTATACCACTCACAGCTGTGACGATAAAAATGTAAATGAAGTATAAACTTGACACAGTAATAGCTGCAGTTTCTGAAAGATGGGCAGAAACAGTATTTCTGAATGTGCGAGGTATCTTCTTAGTTTTGGCTTCTTGTGGCTAGTCTTAGCACTGACATCTATTTTAAATTTGGTTCTGACAACCTTTTAGTTTTAAAATGCCTTAAGCTCTGACTTTGGTTAGCCGTTAAAAAGGCAGTCTGTCTTGCTTTGCATCCTTGTTGCACCCATCCCTTCCATCGTGCCTGCAAGTGTGTTTGTGACCACATGGTGAACTAAATCAGAGAACTGATTCAGGCTAAAATAGCCTGAAAATGTTCTCTGCATGACAAATCAGATACTCAAAAATATGTTAATTCAAATCTTAGAGAGCCGATGGGTTTTGGCAACCAAAGGCTGAAAACTTCTTATTTTTACCCGCGTTCAGTTTCCTCTGAGCTGGTTCACTGTACAAACATCTGTGCTGGCTTAAGGGAGGATGCACCACAGAGGTGGGAACAAATGGTTAGGGGTGGGAAGTTTATCTTTTCCTCTTTAAATTACTCTGAAGTGAAATTTGACTGCACTTAAAAGGAAACCTTTTGCTTTCTTCAATTACAAAAGGGGAAACAATTAAAAAGTCCTGCTTTCCTACCTGTAACTTTCCCATATGGCTTATTTAATTTGATGGTGCACTTTAATGTTCTCCATGTACATGAATGATAATAGCTTTATTTTTAAATTGTTTTGCTTTAGTGATTCATTATATGAGGGGGGGGGGAGAAGTTTAATAGCAATATGTTAGTGAGCTGGTCTAAATCAATAATTAAAGTTTTATTGAATCACTGTAATCAACTTCCTGGCTACAGATTGTTTCTGCATATGAATGTTAGAAACAGATATTTTTGGGAGGATCTATTTGTCAGTTCTGGTTTGTTTGGGTTTTTTTCTTTCCCCTCACATCTTCTTTGAGCAGACTTGAAAAAAAACAAACTGCTTGTTCAAGTCTGTAGCTCTGAGAGGAGGGAAAAGTAGAAAGAGGAAACTTGATTTTTCCACTTGCAATTTGTATTTTGTATTCATAAATGTCAAATATTTTCAAACATCTTTATGAAAAAATAATGAAATCTTCCTTATGTATTCCAATGAGTTCCAGTTACTCCAGTGACACATGGTGTGGGAATGAACAGAAAGACAGTGGCTATTTCAGTACCCTGCTCATTTCAGACCTATAATAATGCCTTTAAAGTTAGTACACAGTTTTGTTGCAACAGCAGTTTCATAAATATAAGTAGTCCCCAGCTGAATGAAGTAGAAATGTGTGAGAAATCCAAAATACAAAGCTGTGAAGTCTTGAACTGGTTTTGAAGATGCATGTTTCCTGATGGAAAAGAAAAATCAAATATTAGTAAGTGGGGATAAAATTGGTATTAAAGTGATTCTTGAATTGCCTTTTAATTGTTAGATTTATTATTTTGATACGTGAGCTTTGCTACTGTACTTTTGATGATGACATCCTATTTGAAAAAAATTTAAACTTTGTTTAAAATGGAGAAACTCTGCTTGGCCCAGGCTGGAAGTCAGGATGGTGGATGCTTGCTCCCCAGTGCCCAGCAGCATACTAAATAGCTGAATCATTCAGCACAGGCCTGCAGTTGACGAGTCTTATTTGTAGTAGATTCCCACTCAGTGTGACACAGATCACGTTACTTACACTGTGTTTCATGCTTCTAAACCTAACAAGACTTAAAAACCCCACATGAAGTTTTTAAGATACTTTATGATCACTTTTGAGCTCCTGCTTGAAGGCAACATAGTAAAGCAAATGAAAGGTACTTGTTCTGGTCTTTTAAATGAAGAATCAAAAGTCCTTTATAAAATTCCTCCTGCCAGTTGCTGTCATTAGCAATTTCCCTATTGTTACAGTCTAAAGGCAATAGTGGTAGCATTGTATTTGGATGGAGGTGTGAAGGAAAATGGGGTGGCTTAAAGTGTAGCTCAGTGAAACTTTCTTTTCCAGATACCGGTATTAACATCAACAAAGTGCCAAATGAAGAGGGAAGTTTGGAGACAAACAGCAAAATGGACGCCTGCCAGAATGGGCCAGAGTCGCTCTTCCCTGACTCCCCTGTATCTTTTGACCCCACCAGCAGTGCACAGGGTCAAGAGTCCTCCCCAGGTGTGACTGGTTTCCATGACAGCCTAAGGAAGTCTCAGGGAACTAGCGCTGAGGGCATAGTTCTTAGAAAAGAAGCTTTGCAGTCTCTCAAACTAAGTCTTCCCATGCAAGAAACTGAATTGTGTAAGCATCTGTTTACGGTGGTGCCCCTGCTTTCTCTTGCTGCATAAAGCTTTTTACTCTGAGCCTGGCTCTAGAATCCTGTAGCATCATTTAAGCTTGGACTAAACTTCATTTTTGCAGTAAGCTTTTACTTTGAACTACAGTTCATTTTCTTTCAGTAAACCACCTTCTGCTGCAGCTAAGGCATGTGCCTTACCATTTAAAAATTGTTCTTATGCTGGAGGGGAATTTATGCTTTCTGGGGCTGAAGCTATTCTAATCTCCTTGATTATTAGTAACAGGTGACATTAAAAAAAACACCCAACAGAACAGTAGAACCAGGTGATTTTAAGCTAAGTAATAAAGGGGGGAAAAGAAGAGCAATAAAAGGGAGAGAAGGGGGAACCCTTTATATTAAGGTGTCTAATGCTGCAGGAGTTTTCTGAAATAATGTTTTTAAAAAGCCTTATTATGGGAAAGATTTAATATGAGTTCACAAAAAGAAAGAAAATATATCTAGGGCACATCTTTCTCTGACCTGTAGGGAATGAGTGGGCTGCTTAGGTCTTGCTTAGTTTTATAGTTTTAGTACTGTCAGAAGTGCAGGACAGGTGAGATTAAGTGACAGCAATAGTTTTGTTCTTGCTGTATAATTTCTCGTCATATATATATATACATGGAGGAACTACAGCATTTGCAAACTGAGCAACGGAAATACATAGGCTTTGTCAATGCTTACACAAGGATATATTAGAAGAGGCTATTCTGAGGTGCATGCCAATGGGCTTTCCTTGCGTTCCTTGCTTAAGCATGAAGCATATTGCTGATGGTAGAAGGGGCTTTTTCCTTTTGCATCAGATTTGCCTGTGTTGGAGTTTTCTGTTTGACTATAAAGATACTTTTCACTTATAGGCTCAGTAGAGTCTTCACTCCCATTGGAGAAAGAAGAACAAATAAGACTTCAAGCAAGAAGACGGCTAGAAGAACAGCTCAAACAGTACAGAGTGAAGAGACATCAAGAAAGAGTGAGTACCACACAACAGATCTTCCAGATTCAGTGTGTTGTTGAGAAGCTTGAAAACATTATCCTTTTCTGTGATCTAAATTACTTTTTTCTCTGTTTTAAGTGTTCAGTAGTTTTATCAAATGTGAGAAACCATTTTTTTCTTCTGGATATGCAAAATTTGGTTCTCTGTTACTTCATCAGTAACATACCATTTTGTCCTACTTAAAATAGGGGGAAAAATCCAAACCCAAAACTTAAGTGACCTGAATGTTCAATTTTTCCTCTATTTTTCAGTTAGCTTTTGGAGTCTACCTTGATAATTTTCAACATGCATATACTGAGCCTTGATAGGGTTAATTGCTGATGTAATTTACCTTGTTTATGAAATGATGCATATATTTAAATATTAATCTAAAAGTGTAGAGCTTTACGTGTTAAGTTCTACAGCAAAATAAGACTTTGATAGTTCAAATGTAACATTCTGGAATTTATTGTTGACTCTTTGCTTCTTTTAGTCGAATCAGTCTGCATCCAAAAACCGGCCCTCCAGCACTCTAGATCCTGAGCTGATGTTAAATCCAGAAATCTTGCCAAGAGCTAGCACTGTAGCAATGACAAAAGAATACTCCTTTTTGCGGACCACTGTCCCCAGGGGGCCAAAACTGGGTAGCTTGGGACTTCCGGCATCCTCAAAAGAGAGAAGAAGTTCAAAATCTAAGCCGAGTAAGATCCGGTCCTTGGCTGACTACAGAACTGAAGATTCAGACTCTAGAAATGCTACTGGGAATTTTGTGTCTGCTGATTTATCTGGTGGGACTCTGAAGCAAAGCAGAAGTGGTCCAACATCAGTTGTTTCTGAGATTAGTCTACTCTCTGACACGGATGATCGAATAGAGAATTCCTCCTTGGCAGGAGACAGCATTTCAGAGATTGATGGGAGTGAAGTGGGAATGAGGCTGGATGGAAATGACAGTGACAGCTCTACCTACAGCAGCGTATCAGGAAAAGGGCTGTATAACAGTTTACAGAATGCAGAAGGCAAACAGGCTCTTCCATATACAATAAATGGTCAGAACATACATCCTGATGCAATGGGGCAGTTTCCTTCAATCAGTGAGGTGCTACAGGCTGCGGCAGTGGAACACCAAGCACAAGAGCAAGACGTTAATGGGGAAGTACGGAGTAGGAGAGACAGTATTTCTAGCAGGTAAGAAAGATCACCATACAGTCAGGCTATTATTAGGCATTATACTTTCTTAGAATAGGCAGCCTATTACTCTTGCCTTCTACTAACTTTGGATCCAGGTTTAACTTACATTCATTGTGATCAAATCTATTGTCAACTTACAGATTCTAAAAGAAACTGAAAGGTCACTTCACTAGAGTAGCTATTTACTATGTCTTTATAGAAAGGTATTTTTGCCACTGACAGTGTGTTTTAAACATACTGCTCGCAGTTGCTTTATCTGTATTTACTTGAGAAGCAGGCGTTCATTCATTGGATCACTGATGTGGCATTGGTCTTTAAAGTCTGAAAGTGTAGACTTAACTAATTCAGTGATACTTATTACTGTCCTTTTCCTGATCTGTGCATGTACCTTTCAGTTTTGAAATGCCAAGAGTCTTGTCCTAGATACTCTTATCCTCTTCAGCCCTTTAGAATGAGATTTGCTTAGTCTCAAAAGCTTATGTGTATATGCTAGGTATTAAACTGTGATTCAGCAAGAAAGTGGATGACTGGTGAAGTCCTTAACAATGCAGTTGTGGTTTTTTGTCAGTTGTCTACAGATGCATGTTTTATACATGCTAATTTTTAAATTACCTTTTTTTTTCTCCCTTCATTGGAATAAAGCGTAATGCCCCAAGATATGCAGATACAGAATATAATGAAGTCAACCATTGCACTTCCATAAAATAACAAATATATGGGTGCCACAGTAGATTCTAGTTGCTGCAGATATAGGAAACTAATGTATAAAACCTTAGCGTGAATATAATTTCTTTATCTCTTTGGATGGTAATGAAGCTTGTTTCACTGTGTTCTGAATCCATCATAAAGCCGGAAAAAATGTCCTAAATGCTTGGTCACATGTGGAGTCTGAGTACCTCTTAATTTCACCTTCACTTTTCTTCAACTAGATGAGTGTTGTGTTCTAACCCTTTAACTGTGTAATTGCTGTCTCTGTCTCCAGTGTTTCTATGGAAAGCTCTATCGCAGGAACTCATGATGAAGTGTTGCAGGTTCTGAAGGAGAAGATGAGACTTGAAGGGCAACTAGAAGCACTCTCACTAGAAGCTAATCAGGTAGAAAATGAATTTTAGTTTCTGTATTTAGCAAATTATATTAATATGTTAATTGATTTTCAAGAACCTCCTACTCATTATTTGTGGGAATTGTGTTTTATAAAAAAATCGTTGAATAAGGTACTTACCAAGGATGCCATGGTGGGTTGACCCTGGCTGGATGCCAGGTGCTGACCAAAGCCGCTCTATCACTCCCCTTCTCAGCTGCACTGGGGAGAGAAAATGTAATGAAAGGCTCAA